TGAGAGGCTTTTCTTTTTGAAATCAGGCTGGTACAAGATGAGCAAACTGTATTATTATTTTATTATTAAGCTACCACATTGCGTCAACACACCATTGGCAATTACATTGCAAATAATTGCACAGTTGACAAATTGTGCAGGGTAATTTACACTGTCATTGTCTGAATGCTTCTTTTTGGGCTGGATTTCCTGGGGTGGAGAAAGGCCTACTTTGCTTCGTGTAAACTTAGATCTCCTATAACCTTTTATGCATGTATACACTATTGCTGTCATCACTGAGTTTTTCTTTTACTCACTGCAACTATTCTGATACTGAAAAAACTGAGAAGTCCACCAAATTCCAGAAAGTACTGAACTGATCCATGCCTTCTTTCTTATATGGATTCTGAGCAGTGTGTTACTGCCCATCTTCAAAAATGGGTACGAGAGAAACCGAGGCTTAGGGGTTTCTTGAACGTTTTCTTAGAAGACACCAAAAACGTGTCTGTGAAAATGCAGCTTTCAGTTGGTGAAAAATTCTGTTTATTTGAAAAACTACTAACTACCAAAAATATGTAATTTACTTACCAGTGCTGCTATAAATCAAGAGTCTTAGTCCTGCAGTGCTTCTCATCACAATAGCAGACGTCCCATTTTTCTGTGACTCCTTGCAGCGTTACGAGCGTGGCCTGGTTTTGATTCGGTTTCAGAGCCGGTCTGTGAATTAAATACGACTGCTATTCTCTTTTTCTTTTTTTCCAAGTTAGTGTGAGCTGAACATATTAAATATTAGAAGAAATAAAGAATTACAATCAAGGTGCGAGGAATTCATTTTTTCCTTGGAATGTAATTTCAGTATTAAACTACCAGGAAAAAGCTATGAAAGGAATCACTGGTTTTTCCACTGCTTTGCACGTTGTAGAGTCATTTCAACATGTGTAATATGGGTGTCAAATGCTAATAAATCAGCTGTCAAATGCTATCAAATACTTGCACAGGTGTAAATGATCACATAAAATGCAAAGCACTGATCTGACACAAAAAATCTCTGATTACCATTTCTGTCTTCATCAGTTTTATGGAATTATTAAAAGAACCCCAGTCCAATAGGGAGCTTATTCCTCATTACCCAGGTTACCAGGTTCTTTTGGTCTCATTTCCTACTTTTAGCAAGTTTTTCTTTCCTTTTTATTCCCATTTCACATCAAGAGAGAAAATGCAACAACTTAAATGATACTACTTTGGACTGATCTACTAACAAAAACATTATGTTTCATGATTGTAAGAATGATAGAGCTTTTTTTTTTTTTCCCCAGCCAAAACATCTCTGTAAGTGCCCCAGCATCATCAACTGATGGCAGCACAGCTCTGGGAATAAACAGACTTTAGCTAATGGCAGGAATCAACAGGGAAAACATGAAACAGGTATTTCTTCTTCACAGACAGTGAAACATGACTGAAGTTAAATGCACATCCTACTAGCACTGGAGCCAGTTAAATTTGACTCCTCATGTCTATTTATTCATCTCTTTTTTTAAAAAAGTTCATCTAGTTTCATTTAGTATCCATGTTTTTCCCCTTTGTATTTGGCCACTTCTGTCTTGGTGGAAATGAAAACTCTGCAGGCACTGCATAGACTGCACCGCAGGGCTGTGCCTATGTGGAGATTTTGTGACAAAGCTGCTTGGTGTTTGCATTAGGCTGTGTTTGGAATGCACTCAATACTCCTGCTGTTAGAGATCCTATATTTTAATATTCTGTAATAAAGAACTGTAATGCAACCATTATTAGAAAAAAAACAGCATTCACCCAGTGATTCAAAATCACCGAGTGTCTATACGTTGTTTTATTTCAGTCTTCTATGAAAAGTAAGTGTGTATATCCCATTGGCTGACTGGAGTCCATACAATTACATCAGAGATTGGCCAGTTTTGGGTAGCTCTGTATGAACTTCTCACCTCTCTGGCTGTTCCATCACCACCATCTCTCTGATTCCTCACCAGTCATTCCCAAATACTGAGCACCTACTCTTTTATTAGGGAGAGCAAGCGTATGTATGGCCTTACTTAACTGAGCCTGTTGTTTTTTAATATAAACATTTTTAGATAATGACCTTAAGCATTGAGGCTGTCCCAGCTCTGCTGGTGCACAGCTGTCTTTGTCTTAGAGGTAAGGTCTGCAATTAGCCATGCAGATAAACAGACAACATAACAGGAGCTATGAGACCCTAATAAGCATGAAGATGAGCAACTGTATTTTAAAGACAACAGAAACATTTCCTTGTCCCATAACTAAACTCTGTTGCAGCAGTCAAAGCAAAGAGCTGGAGAAAGGTATCCACAACCTTGTGAGCGCACATTTCAGCGCAACTTTTGTGCAACTGATACATGCATTTTCAAAGAAAGATATAGCATCAAATGCCATTCTAAAAAGCTTAAGTATAAAAGATCTAATATGTTCAGGATGGTTTTGATGGTTCTCTGTTCATGTTCTGAATTTTGGATTATGTCAACAGTCACATAATGAAGATATAGTGAAATCTTACTGTATTTCTAAATGAATTCAGAATAATCATTCTTCTTATTTTAAAAAATGAGCTCCAGTAAGACTTTTTTCCCTTTCCTTTTATTACCACACTGCAATTTTCATGCAAAGGATGATCTATTAAGAACCCAATGTTAGCTGGCCATCAGAAGCAGAAATGGATGATGGTTTAATGGAAAGGGAGTGAGCTGCAGTATTTGTGCTGTGCTGAACTGAATCGGTTCATTTCAATTGATTTCTTTGAGGAACAATTATCAAAGTGCAGTAATTCATAACTTTTCTATAAATTCAGAAATTAAAAATACTTCCTGTTTTTTTCATCTATCATCCCGACTTCAGATAGTCCAACACTCCCTTACTTGCAGATAAAGTTAAAATTTTTATTAACAGTAATGTTTTAACACCTATAGTATGCACCACAAATAACTACAGCACGTGGCCCAGCTTAACAGAACTGCAGACCCCTCCCCATCTCGCTGCCAGAGCTCACAGCCACACAGGGCAATGGGGCTGCGCTGGGGCTGCGCTCTGACTGCACACACACACACACACAGAGTGGTGGTGGAGCTCAGCTGAGGCCACAAAGGAAATTCATAATAATCTGGGTTAGCCCACGTTTTGTCATGTTACCAGAAATATTCTGTAAATAAATATATTAGTCGGCCACTTACTTGCAGATAGCGATTACTTAAACCAGCATTCAGCTTTTAATGCACTGCCATTCATTTGTAACAGCGAGCGTTCTCGCTGTGTATTACTATAGATCCAGGTTTTAAATTGAGATTGGTCACTATTGATTCTGTTGGTTTAATGATGACAGCAAGCTGCATTACACAAGATTCATAAAATTTCTGATATACATGAGCCATTATGGTGCCTGCATTGAGCTGGGATCACCTTGTGCCCCACTGCTACAGTGCCACGGAGCTGGGGGCTGTGCCCAGACCACATGGGTCCTATGCAGAGTGGGGTACTACCAGGAGGTGATAGGAAACGAAAGAAAAAAAAAGAAATCTTCACTTTTCTAGGAACTAATCAGTCACAACTGGCCACAGCTGATGCTTGTTTGCGTCCTTAATACCTCCTAAGTGTTAGTTACAGGTGTGCTTGTTAGTTTCAGCTTGCAGCAGAAAGCTCATTGTCTTAGTTTGTCAGCATTTATCAGGAGCCACCTAATAGGACTTAACAAAAGATTCACTCTCTGAAGTTTATCAGTTCCTTAAATCTCATTTACCAGTACTTTGACATTTAAAACTATTCTGGGAAGGGCAAATTAGAAATCAATGATGTGCTCATCAACCCTGCATCAATGCAGCTCTAAGAAATGTAGATCAGTCACTGAGGGAAAAAATGCTATACATGCCTTTCTAGAGACCAAAGAAAAATGCAAAAATGTGAACAGTTCAAAGGCTGAAATATTTAGTTACATTAAGTCTTTCTGAAATGCAAGATCTTGTCAAAGATCTGTCTTCAAAATCTGCAATTCCAGCACTCATTCAGTCGATCAATCAGAAATGATGCAGTATCCAAGGAATGTTTTGTTTTTTAGAAAAGATTTAGAAATATGATCTATCAGAGGATGCTGATGGAATAGAAACTGAAATTAATAAATAATCACAGAATTCAGTTTCAGGTGCTGCAGCATTTTACTCACGCAAGCTTTTATTCGGTGCTGCAGCACTCACCATCTGCAGAGCTCCTCATATCATTCATTTTTGGTCATTTAATCACTGGCAGTATGATTAATGCAGTTATTAGAAAGCTTGCAGTACAACTACATGGAATAAACCATGTTTGTGCATTATAAGACATTGTGAACTATTCTGGTAATTATTTTGATCACCTGTAAAATGGAGCTGGGCATGTTTTTTAAACTGAGATCTGGTTAAGCTAACAGGTTTCTCTGAGGGATCAAGAATCAAATTATTTTCTTCTGCTGTATTCTACAGCATGGCTTGAAACTACACATTCAAAGTTACAAAAGTCTGTTAAATGGGACTCTCTGAGAAGAAAAGCTAGTGATGAAAAACTGAAACTTTAACACTGTAGGTTATTTGTAATAATACACATATACTACATTTCCCAGTATCCCATTTCCCTACCTAGTTTTCTTTGTTTTGCTTTGTTTTATGTGACAGTGATTGAGTTCAGCGTATACAGGACGTAAATATAAGCATGCATATATAAACTTGCATTTGTGAGTAAGTATTGTTCCTTTGACCCATGAATGAGAGTAGTGAATGAATAGGTGACTACTTAATTCCTCTTGTCTCAGTCACCTATTTCATGAAAGGAATATTTCTGTTACCTGCGAAGTTTGGAATTTGTAACGTAAAATAATTAGGAAAATGTTTCATACCAACCCACCCTCTTTATTAAGTAATTTCTTCAAGTATTTTTAATAGTGCAAATTGTTGTTCTGCATTAGTACAATAACGATGGGAATTCACAGTCCAAAAATAAAAAATCTTAAAAGATTTCCAAAGTCAAACAAAAAAATTTTAATACTGTATTTTAGCAAGAACATTTTTAACAAAGAATGTGTACTTTAACTTAATATGGTACAACAGAGAAACCATACTTAAAAGTTTCCATTATCTAACACTCTACTGCATATTCATTTTTTCATCTTAAAAGACCAAAAGCCAAGCTGAACTGAGCATAAAAAAGCATCAATTATAATCCTCATATTACGTCAGCTATTAGGATTTAGCTCACACTTCTGAATTGGTCATCTAATGAAAGGACAATTTTTACATCATTCTTTTAAAAAATGTACACACATTTCTTTTTAAAACGTAATATATATCGAGTATCTGCTTCAGTAAACAAAGCTTAATTTATAAACACAATCGAAACAGCTCCATGTTGAACAGTTTCAGTGATAAACTGGACTTGTATGATGTACAGCCAGTGTGGACCTTTGTGGCTTAAAATCATTGTGCCATTGCTATACAGTAGTAGCTACCTCCTTAGGAAAAAAACGAAACAAAACAAAACGAGTTCTTTGGGGGTGGGAAGGGAAATAATTCCTGTATGTGCTTAAAAATACTAAAACTCCTTTCTATCTCCGGGGACCTAAAAATGATCTGTTGCAACAGGCTTGGTTTGGTATGGTAAGCTTGTAAAAAGTCTCAATATTTCTTAATGACAATACGGCAGTTTTCGATGCAGCAACAGTAAATTGCTTGAAATTGTCCTTCAAGTTTCATGCTACAAATCCTGTTCCTCACACGGTACTGAAGGCATCAAAGGTTGGAAGGGACATTTTTCATGAACTATATAGTCTTCAAATAGTGATCATTATACATTTTTCAACAATAGGTGTTTCCTTCAGTACATGATGGTAGGTTTGATGTATGTTCTGTTTTCTGTAGGAAAAAAAAAAGAAGGAAAAAAGTCAATTACAGAGTTGCGCGTTTTAGAATTATTTGAAATGTAGGTGGATTTCCTTGATAATTTGTGGACTTTTTTTTTTCTCGACACAAATGATCAGATCTACAAGTGATACAAACTGAGCTCAAAGTAAATATGATTTTATGGAGAACGAGGCACCCAATGACAAAGTCCTGAGAGCCCCCAGTCAGCGCGGTTTGTGTCACGCAGGGCAGTGAGCCCACTGCCCACCTCCTGTCCTGAGCCACTTGTTTCCTGGGCTGCTCCCAGCTGGCATTTGCTAGAAAAGGCTGTAAATATTTTGATCTGCATTTTTGTCTTTTGTGACGTTTGCTTTTTAGCTGAACACTGTCTCTTCTCAGAAGGCAGTTGGTGTTGTACTGCTTACCTCCTAACACAGGGTAGTGGCATCAGCTTTACAACGTACCATTATTATATGAACAAAACCTAGGGAACAGTGTTGGAAAACAACTGCACTGCATTAAAAATATAATAGCAGTAAATTGATCTCTGTTTTTCGGAAAACTGTTATTTCACTCAGAAACCTTCACTTCTCTTTTTAAGTTATTTTTCTTTCTTTAGGGAAACAAGTAGAAAGCTGCTTCCATCCTTTGTAAGACTATTCCTAGTTATACTGCCTATCAACTGTGATTTTTCACATTAAGCAATGCTAAGTCCAGAGGAAAAATAAATATGCCCACAGAAACTACAGCTAAGACTACATCTAACAAGAATCCATATTCTTGTTCATTATACAATGAATCATGAATTCACCCAGCTAAATCTGCAAGTACTGATCTTGAAGATGATAAGCAAAATGATAATATTGAGAAGCATTTTGTATAATGTTGACATCTATCCCATTACTGTTTTACATATGCCAATACTGAGCACTCATAAGGAAAGAACAAGTATTGACCTGCTAACTGACACTGATCCTTGGAGCAATCTCAAACTTTGCCACATTTCAATTTCAAAATGCATTTCAGCTATAATATGAGTGATTTATCATTTAGCAGTAGCTGTCAAAGTAACCTCCTAGATAAAACAAAAACATCTGGAACCATAAACAGAGGAGAGCAGTAGCTGAATTTTAATCCAAATCCGACATGTTCACTTCATTAGGAACAGGAAACAGCTAATTAGTAATTGAATGTTTCATGGTTTTAAGGAGGCTCAGACTCTCCAAACAGAGATGATTTAATATGTGTTCTGGATGTAAACAAGAATAAAGATCGGAAGAGCCAGGGACATAACATCTCTGGAGGAATGTTTGGGAGCATGGGAACCTCCAAAGAAATGACTAAAATTAGCTTCAGGCCTTTGGCTGATTAAAATTATTGTCTTAAGATTTACTGTGGCAAATATTAAGGCCTGGGGAGAGGGGTAAGCAGAAATGCACAGACTGAACATTGTTGTGCTTTTTTGTTTTCTGCTTTTCCTTCTGGTTATTAGGAAGTTCCTTCCCATAGCAGGCTGTAGGTGATGTAACTTACATTAACGCTGCGCTTCTAAATAAAGACAGCCACTGGCAAGACCTGCAGGTCAACGTGACTGCCCCCAAAAAGTCAGAAATACTCCTTATTGCCAAGCCAAAGGCTGACATTCTGCTGGAGTGTGCTTCTAGTGAGTCAGTAATTTAACAGCTCTGGTGCTCTGCACAGCAGCAGTTGCAGCACGGAGCAATGCTGCTCTCTTTGGGGTCTGAGCTCAGGAGCCAGATTTACAAAATGTCCCTCTGCCTAAGCACCCATATTGGGTGGGACTTCTTATAGATGTGCTTTACCATGTTCATATTATACCAGTGGAAGTCAGCAGGAATTAGGGATGTAGCTTGCTAAGTGGCCACAAGGCATCTGCTGCAGCTGTATTTGATGTTGGTACTTGTACAGATAGTGATGGTGACTGTGCATGTGTGCACATTTATGCTGTTCCATTTGCTGACAAGGTCTGGGCAAAGATAAGCGTAGGCACGTTCCAAGTAAGAGCTGATTTACCAAAAGTGGGAGCAGTAAGGAAGGCTATGATGAAATCAGCCTCTGATCTTCCCTACAAATATTTTTTAAATAATTTAAAGTATTTACTCAATTTCTTAATAAAAAAGAAACAGTTTTTACAACCACGAACACAAGTCCTCTCTCACAGAAGGGAGCAAATTCACAACTGTTACAAAATTCTTCATTTAGCCACTTGAAAAACTACATAAACTGACAGGATTTAAGATAGATACAATACTTTGATTTTTTGCCCAACCTTCTGCAAATACTTTGCGTAGTTAATCCCTGCCAAGTAAGATGTATTTGGAGATCAAATGTAACACTGATTCAGCTGGCTCTTCTCAAACACAGAGAGGGAAGGGAAGGTGTGAAGCAGCTGATACCATGCTCAGCTGGATGGCTGGGTCAGCAAAACCATGTGTTGGCTTTGGTCATTATACACATGAATAGATAGAGCTCATCAGGCCATTAACAAGCTCTAGGAAACCACAACGCTGTGACTTCCTTCATGCTGCCCAGCCTGGCACCCTTCCTGCTGCCCATAGCCCTGGGAGCCCTGCCCTGCCTCCACCCTGGCTGGCATCGCAGGCTGCTTACTGACAGAGAGTCATAGCAGGAGGCTGCAGAAAGAGAAGCAGTGAATTATTTGGACTACCGTCATTAACTTGGCTTGTGATGTAAACCTGAAGCTTAAAAGTTAGCTGAAAGTCATGTTTTCTAATATAACATATTCATGTTCTTAAAGTATTTTTTCTTTCAAATTATTGATCAAACTAAGCTAAGAAGTGGTTGTTAAGATAACTGTTGGACAATGGACTATTTAAAGTCTGGAACAAGTCTAATTTTTTTCCCCTTTATTTCTTAAGGAGAGTTCAGTGGAGGTATCTGTAGCACTTTCGTAAGAGAGAAAGCAAATGCCAAACCTCAAGCCAAGAAATACTACTGATTAGTAAACAAAAAACACATGGCTAGGTATTTCCCTTTTCATAAAGCTCTCCATGAGATGCCAGAAGTCAAAATGTGTTTTTGTTGCTGCACAATAAACTGAACTCTGTGGTGTTAACAACGTCACGCAGCAACCACCTATGAGAAATTACAGTGTCAGGAGCATCTGTGCTACCACTTCTACATGAATGACAACGTGATGCTGTCAAATTCATCTTTTTAAAGAATATTCACCATCTCCTCAGTGTAGCTGACTGCAAGCTACATACCATTTTATAGCATTTTACGGTACTATACAGCAAAGATTTGAATAAATCTGTGTGCAATAAATGTATTCTTTTATTAGGTTTATCCCTTAATCAAATATTCATTTATGTGGGCTTCATTCTATTAAAAAATGAAATTATACAAAGGTGAGCAAAAGTGTAGATTTACAGTAGTTTAAAGCCTAATTTCATTCTCTAGGGGTAATATTGACAATATAAAAACTGTATAAATGATATTCCCTAACACTAAAATATGCTTATGAGCCCCCTGTGCATGTTATACTGCTTTACAACCTACAGTGAAATGCATGACTGGCTTAATAAGCAAGACATTTAGAAAGGATTTTTTCCCCTTCCCAATGTATAACAGGAGTAAAGATCTCACAATCTCACTGTAAGCCAGAGCCTGTGTTAATAATTGTAATTCTCCCCAGGATGAGGCTGTCTTCCCTGAGTTGTTGGTCCGGGGTGTACATGCATCTCTTGCACTTTCCTTTAGCAACAACACCATCATTTGTCTTTCCCTTTGTAGATTTTAATATCTGTATAACAGGACAAATCCAAAGCAATAATTATCATCTCCTTATTTATTCACATTTTTCTTGTTTCTTCGTTTTCTCATCTTATTTTTCCCCTTGCTCTCAGGATAATTTGCACGCATATTTGAATTTCTGGAATGTTTTGTATGTCTTTGTGTTATCTTTAAATCAGTAATTCACCTGTATTTCTATAAAAAGTATTTTAAAACAAAATTTCCATGTGTACTCTCACAACTCGCATTGAGAACTGCGCCCTGATAATGCTGGTGTGAAAATCCAGGCCAGGAAAGTGTGCACGGTGCAGCTGGCCTGCTGTGATCTAATGGCACAGCTAGAATTTGGGATTGTTCAGATAATTTTAGCACACTTAGTTGCAGGAGAACATCACTGGATTAAGGAAATATGCAATCTGCTCCATAATGAGAGAACAAGGATAAATGTGTTGTATCGCTAACTGTAAATTATTCATGCTACTTCTAAAACAAAGACAAGCCCTACACATTGCAGGGAACAAGGACAGCAGAATCCCACTTTGCCAGTTTGGATCAAGGAGTGGGGAGAGCTGCTAAAGGTTGGGTAGGGCTGAGCCAGGGCTGTGTGCCTGCAGATGCTGGGGAGCAGCACGAGGGTGTTTGGTTGCCCAGCGGCTCCAGCTCTGCATGGTGGCTTGGAGAGTGGGAACCATGGCCTTGGTGGCACAGGGACGGGGTTGGACATGAGCTGAGCAAAATGGAGCCAGCATTTTAGTTGAACCAGAGCCAGATTGAGCTCTGAGTGCAGCAAAGATATAGAAAATACAATGCCAAGACAATAAAACTAACAGACAAAGTGGGGCTGGTTAGTTTGATTCAGTTGTTTTCTGTGCTGTGACACTCACAGAGGTGTGGTTTTTCCCCAGCTTACTTCATGCTTAGGAATAGTGACTTGACTATGTCAAATATTTCCACATTCACATTAATAGATATAAAAACTCGTACTGAAAATAGGACTTCTAATGAGTAGCAGTAGCCAAGGACAAGAATATGTTCACTGAATTCTAACTGTGCAGATGCTGGATTGCAACTGTCAGTGTGGGTAGGAAGGGAGTTAACACAGTAGTTCCTGCTGAGGAAATATCCAAGCCTGCTGACACTGAGTTATTGAATAAATGTTTGAGCCCTTTGTAAGAAGAGAAAGGTAAGGACCTTCACAGCCTAGTCTCCAAGGGAAACCTTTCCTCACCTTCTGTTTTCAGTAAATAACAACATCTCAGCCTCCTCCATCTCATGAGTGCGTACCGAGACAGAGATTCAGAAAAAATATTGTGTAGCGTAACTACAGATAGCATGGAGAGCAGGATCCATGGCACTGTCACTTTGCAGCCCTTTTTGCATGCATTTGCATCACCAACAGCGAGCAATGCAGCCTGCACTGGGATCTCACCACAAGAAGCAGAGCTGCCTTTTGGTTAGCAACTCAAGGGACTGCTCTCCCTTGTTCCTGCACTGCCTGCATGGCTATGGGAACCTTGTCATTGGGTGCTCATTATTCCAGGTTAGAACAAGAGAGGTCTTCTAGAAAACACAAAATGACGCAGCTCCAAGCAGCTACCCGAGGATCACTCATTCAGCCAGGACATGCATTAGAGACAGAGCACTGGGCAGGAGGAGGAAGAAAAGATCTAAGCCCTGCAGAAGCCAGGGTAGGATTTGCTTACAAGCAAAATACCAGGCCTCTATTAATCACAGTTTCTGATCAAACGGTTCTGGTCTGCTCTCGTGTAAAAATTTCATTTTTTCTAGAGAAAGCAATACAGGGTAACAGCACTGTCATTTCCAAGATGTGGACACTGTCTCCTGCAACAGAATAGCAGCAGCAGGGCTGGTTTCAGCGGATCACTGCATTTGAAGGTATATTTTGATAGAATATCAAATATATTTTGATAAAACCAAAGTCAAACCTTTTCAAAATCACTACCCTCCCTTCTTTTCTTTTTTTTTTCCTCTTGCAACTTTTTTTTTTTTTTTTTTTTTAAACTTTAGGCTGGATTTAAAAATAGGTTGGTTATATCCGAATATTAAAAAATATATGGCTTGTTCTCTAAATAATAGAAATAAAATACATTCTAGATTTCGACAGCCCTCCATCTTTGGCAAACAGATAAAAAAGTTATTCATGGCTACTGGCAGTTTCTGTGCTACCTCTCTGCTTGGCTATTTCGCAGACAAAACCAGCTGCAGCCCTGTGACTCTCCACCACAGACCCATGCTTTCACCTCAGGAAAGTCCGTCCACATACACTGCTGCCTCATTCTTGAAATTTAGAGTCTTTTAGCTTTTGTAAATTGTTATCAGCAAGTATTATGGTAATGTCTATTTTTTAGAATTTTAAGATAACATTGCTTTGCTGATTGTTCCAATATCCCCTAACAATGAAATATAGTAATACAAAAGTTAACTAAGGTATAAACATGCAAAAGGAGAAGTCTCCCTGCGATCATAAAATGATGTTATTTTCTGTTCAGCAGTTCATGTTACTGCTGTTCATGCTAATTAATTAAAGGAGCTGTTGCTGTAATGTGCAAACAGGGAATCTGAGAAACTGAGAGGGCTTTTAGGTCTCGGAGTGAAGTTAAGTCAATCTGGGCGCGGGCAATCAAATGTAATGAAATCACTTGTCAGTGCTAAGCTTGCAAAAACTGTGAAGTTTGACTAGGGAGTAAAAGGATTATAATTAGATTTCCAATAGGATAATAACTAAATGGCAGAAAGCAGTAAAGAGAAAATATTACTTTGTTAGCTAATGGTGCTGCTGTTCGGTTTTAGTTTTTATCAGCACACTTGTAGTTGTACTAATTTAATTTGCTTTTATCAGCAAAAATGCACTACTCGAATGGTACTTGAATGTCATTTGCAAAAAACATTGATCTGAAGGTGCACTTAATGACACCCAGTATGTTTATTTTATGTGAAACGGAGATTGCTTGATAAAATGGTTGACGCAGTATCTTCCTGGCCCAAGAGTGAGTTATGGAAGCAAGAGCAGAAGGTATCAGCACATGCATTGCCTGCTCCTGCACCACTCAGCTATGCAGGGGCTGTCAGACTACAGCAACTATTTCTTTTCTATTTGTCAGCTAACAGGCCCCTCACAGATTGAGCTGTGCTGGACCAGAAGCTCAGGGGTATGGAGGACAGAGCTACAGACTGTAAAGTTTGAAAAACTTTTAGTCTTGTCAGCACAAAATTTCAGTTCAATTAATACACAGAGCGTAGGGAAAATGAGTACTAAACGGAAGAGATTTATAACGCATATCAGAATCTCAGAAAATGAACAGCTTGTGTTAATAAAATCATTTTAAGAAATGAGCATAAAATATGATATGACTTAATCACTGTGCAGTATTTTTGCAATTTTCCTTTAAACCACCTTAAGGAGATACTGGCAGTGAAACTAATTGAATTTCAAAGGAAAGGCACTGTGTGAATGATAGATTTCTGTCCAGCAGAGTTATTGACAACAAAAAAAGAAAGGTCTGCATTGACACTGAGGCTTTTTTCTGTGCACTAGAGAGAGATTCTGGATGCTTGGAAGCAGCTTTGTATTAGAGACGTGTGTTTTGACCCTTCCTTCTCCCAGGGCCCAAAAAACAAAGGCTGTAAATGAAGGGGGCAGTGGAGGCAGTGTACTCAAACTGTTAAGACTGCAGTGCAAGAGTTGCTGTCAAGTTTCAGAAACTGTAAATCAAAAGAAAAAAGAATAAAAAGATATTACAGTATCAGCATAAATAAAAATGGAGGAGATGATGCTAAGGAACAGAAATACTCTGAAACCTAGACTAGCTCTATAGAGAGATCTTAAAAAGCTTTTCTATCAGCTGAGAGTGCTTAGTGAAAGAACTGGATAAACTCATCACACATTTACATATCAACAGGATTACCAAACTGAAAGTGTCAGAGAATCCCATATATGCTGCCATTCATGGCTGTGGTGAAGACAAGAAATGACATATTCTGCTTTCACAGCGGGGTACCAAATGCAGAGATATTGAACATAATCAGTGAGTGTCCAGGTCTCCCTTGGCTCAGGTTTTTGAAATGAAAAAAAGCTTTGTAACCCAAAGCCTTTTAAAACTGAGATTTAAGGGGAAAAAAAATCAAAACAAACAAACAAACAAAACAAAAAACTTCTCTGAAATTAAAATCCTAAGATTACAGGGCATTCTTCTTTATCAGTAATACACAAGAAGTGAGAATAAATTCTGAGTCCTTCTGTAAGTAAATGGCTATTGCAAGTGGCTATGCATCACCCTTCTCACAGTTACTTAGACTCTTTTTTAATAGAAGACAGATTTGAGCCACCTGTAACCTTTTTCTTTCTTTAAAAATGACAATTAACTTCCTTCTTACTCCAGTAGATTCTGCCCAGGTACACCTTGGACTCACAGAATCTTTTCGGGAGAGCACTGAGCGCTTATCTCAGCAGATACTGTAAATAGCACTAGGAAACAGTAGGAATCATTTGCATTTCAAATTACAATACATGTCCTGAGTGCTTATCCAATATTTTGACTATTTCTGGCAGTAACAATTTTCAAACTGCAATACTTAGTGCACAACTCCAATCATATGTGTACATATACATGACTATAAATATGTTGTATTATATATGTATATATGTAATTCTCCTTTTTTGTTATGTGTAGCATATGAACCTAAAATCACAAAAAGCGACAGCAGTAAAAATATTTGAAAGCTTTCCTGTATAGATGACAGATGGACAACAGATGCGTACCAGAGGTATGCAAAGTCAAGCCTTTAACAGTTGACAAATGCTAAAGGTTATGTTTCTATCTCTATCTGCACTGGTTCTAGCAGTACCTAAGATAGAATTCTCTATCAGATATTCTCGTAATACCCTCTGGTATGTGCACATCTATTTAAATGCATACTAAACATTTCTTTTAAGCCTTCTGGAACTTTTGTCTTGCTAAATTTGCCATCTTGTGATTTCCATCATCTACTGTTTATGTACTTTTTGAAAACATGTATGATCTTGAAAGGAAAGCAAGGATCGGAAGTGAAATATTTTAAAAAGATAAATCATTTGTAAGATCATTTCTGGACTAAGCCTGTATATCTGAGTATGATAAGTATCTAAGTATGAGTGTTTCCCACACCTCTGTTTAAACAAATACAATTACTGATCTTGTAAAGTAGCAATCTTGCTATACTTCTTTTCTGTATTGAGCAGGAAGACAAAATGAAGTTCCATAATTTACATTTATCTTAACACAGGAAAACAAGAGGTGCAAAAAACTATGCATTTCATTTTTTAATATGGCTTGTGATAAATGTGTATGTAATAGAAGGAGGTACATACTGCACCTTGCATTGCTGCACTGTCATGTTGGGTTCCGTTGTGTTCTATTTCCATATCTGGGATTCCGGCATCTGAAAGATGTGACACTGAAGATTAATGCATTCCCCTTTATCCTTCTCTCATGCATCTTTAGAAAAATATTCATAGGAAACTAAGATGATGGGCAAGTTGCATAACCTGACATAAAACATTTGGTCTTCACAGAATTTTCAGTAGTAAATCGTTTTCAGAATGTGCAAACATTACTGGTCTCACTGTGGATTATTTTTAATGTGCTTCACATTTGTCTGATGATCAGATAATAATCAACACATGATAATAATGTATCTATAAAATTCTTTTGGAGAATAAAGGCATCTGACATATGAAAAATAAAATGGAAATTAAACTGTGGTATTATTAAACCAAATTTACCTCTCAGGCAAATACCTGCAAAGTTAGAGAATTAAAAGATACAACCAGTACCAGTCAACGTGTTTGCATCTATGTGCATGTGTTTGTATGAGTGTATTAGTACAGTACCGTATCAGCTCAGGTTATTTAAGAGTACTCCATCACAAAGGGAAACTACACATGTAATATATTATGGGAAAGACTTCCAGGTACCTGAGAAAAGTTTTCCAAAACGGATTGTGCTGTTTTTTTCCAAGTTGAGAAGGAGTCTCATAATGAGATGTGCTCTTGAACTATTTAATGTCACACCGATAGTACCTCTGTCTGCAGTCCTTTGGGGTGGGGCTGAGGGCTTCAACACCCCAGGGCGTTAAGACAACAGATGCCATTATCCACCTTGTGCCAACAAGGATTAGCATGAAGGGTATGTGATCTGAATCCAGGGTACCTCAAATCCTGGAGAAACATCTGCTTCCCTCGTAATACAGCACTTTGAATTTACAGTAGAAAAGAAAAAACAAAAAAACAAAAAAAACCCCAAGAACACCTGAAGGGAGATGTGTGTAGTTTTGAAGTATTTCTGTGTAAAAGCTCATTCCTGATATTCTCAAATAGAGAATAACTGTACTGCTGCTTTCTCAGATCACTTGAGCTGGACAGTACCTGTTGCAAAGATGACATTTTGCTGGTCACACACAGCCTGAGTGAGCTCTGTGTCAGAGCAGGGCGATTGATTCAAGTACGTGTATGAGTAGTGCAGTACATGGGTAATGCATGTGTATATGTACCTTAGGTATATATGTGTATATGAAATATAGTACTACATACACAGACATCACATAAATATATTTGAGCAAATAAATTATTAATTTACATATTTTTTTCTTTAGAAAGTGCAGGTGATTGTTGTTAGGTAGTTTGAAGTTCAAGGCTCTGGACTAGAAACCTAAAAAGGTTCTCCCTTTTCAAACCTTTTAGAGTATACTTTGTGTGTACGCAAAATGACAAAGTCATCTGTAATAACAGCATCTGTTAAATGAGACAGAGCGTCAGAGTTAAATTAAAAATATTCAGAATAGCCCTTCACATTTTCTTGCCATAAAATTGTACCTGCAATTAAATTGTGGATTAAGATGCTAATGAGCTACCTGATTTGCATGTGCAATCAGATTAGCATGTAAATATCAGCTTTTCGCAGGCACCAACATATATATGACTACCTGAGTGTGCCTGCAAATCAAAATGTTAGCAGCCAGGCCGACAATAGCAGATGTAAAGATCTGTTAATCACATTGCTGGGGTGTTGGTCCCCTTCAATTTGTGGCTACCAGAACTGCTGAGTACTTGTAAATGTAGTGCGATAGGCAGGTGCTTACCAGCAACAACAGCATCTGGGTGAGTGACCTTACTGAGTGTGAGGATTTTAGTTTTCATCTGACATTCATCACAGGGTGCTGGCTGTGCCTGGGGGATCTGAAACGGGCATTTTCCTGACCCAGGAGGGGTGGTACAAAAGGTCCCTGCTGGCTGTGCCCACTCAGCCTCTGCTGGGAGCCTGTCCCTTCACACGGCACAATGGCAAGCTGTATATCCATGCCTGAATCACCACCGCTCACTGTCAGTGTCAGAACAGCCAGCCAGTTCCTGGGTACAGTGATATGCTGGACTATAAAACCCAGCAGATGAGAATGCCTCTGAAAGATGTTGCTCTCATAGTTAAAGAGTTTATATCTCTTAGGTGCTCCAGCTAAATCACAACTCACGGCCCATTGCAGAGAGCTGCAGTGGCAGTTCAAACAGACAGGCTTGCCCTACCTTTAAAAAACAGCTTGGGTACCCTTGCAACTGAGATCAAAGGCCAAGTTAAACTGATTACTTTCACTCAGCAGTTTTTGCAGTCTGCTTCTGTTATTATGGCTCAGTTGCTAGCAGTAGCCAAACAAGGCAAAGTTAATGTGAAGACTACATGACATACAAACACAGCAGAGACTGAATATAACTCTGATTCATGAGCCTCTGCAGAGACATCAGGATAGGCAAGATGCAAAGACCAACTTTAGCTGCAGAAACTGAAATTAATTAAAACTCAGCTAGGTTTAGTCTTAAAGATTCAAACCAACATTCTAAAGTTTGCTCAGAACCACTTCAAGCAGGATAGGTGAATACTCCCACTACCCAGAATGTAATCAGCCTCTATAAAATTAACTGATCTGAATTTGTTTCACAAGAATATCTGGGAAGTATTCAAAAACCTTATCAGCTCACAAGGCTGATACATATTTAACAAACTTAATAGATCCTGAGGCTGAGCAAACTTCAGCCGAACAGCTTTTAAAATGAAGCTCAGCAGTTCTCAAAATGAATCTGCTGGGAGAAAAGAGATCAGAGAACCTTAGAAGGACCAAATTTCACATTGTCTTAGCTGGCACTGTAACAGATTTCTCTGGCAACGTATTCAGCACTTCTTGTCATGCCTGTGTAAACTGCTCCATGTTTCTCTTGTCGCAGACATAGTTTTTTAATTCATGACCCAGAGCACACCGTCTGAAATAGATTTTTAATTATTTCAGGAAAGGGTCTTGCATTTTATTCTGGAATTTGCTTTATGCAATGTTTTAGTTTTTTAACATCATTTTACGTTAACTGTGAAAGGCCAACTAAGACATTACCATTTAACATCCTGAGACCGTCACCTGATGTGGCCTGTTTAAGCGCCTGTTCCACTTGTTCTCTTCTCTTTGATTCAAATTCCAAAGCTTCCTGCAATTTTCTCTTTGCCTTTTTTTCTTTCTTCAAGCGTTTCTGAATTGTTGCTGGAATGCAAATATATGATAAGAATGGCTGTTATAGCACAATTAGTATATAACGGATAAAGTAAACTTGTTTCTTAATTTCTGATGTTCAAGAGACAAGTTCTAGATAAAGAAAAAAAAAAACTGGACACAAATGTGATATAAACAAGCAAAAACCAACCCCATACCCTGTTCTGAAACAACAGCTAGTCTGAAAGAACTTTCAATCTTGTTAAAGATCTTAAATCATATTCTCAGTCCGGAACATTGCCATCGATGCAAGTCTCCTGACTAGAACCCGGGTTTCAGAGCCAGCTCAGACCCTGAGAGGCTACTGAAAAGCTGAGTTAAATGGGTACCAACTGAAATGAAGATGAAATGCATAGAGGAAGGGTAGCTAATGATGTATGTGAGTATATCTGCGGGCAAAAGCACTTTCACCTTTCATCACTAGTTCAAGAAAAAAAAGAGGAAACGAGAAAGAAAAGGAACAAAAGCATTGAGCACATGGTGAGAATCTCTTGAGAGAAAATAAGGACAAAATTCCCAGGTATAAAGGAGGTTGAATATTAGCCTAAAATACAGGCATGTAAATCAAGAACTTTTTAATATTCTCTCCGTTACCAATATCTCCTTCTAACAAAAACACTCTTAAGATCTGTAACTGGCTGATTGGACTAAAAATGGGTAACAATAAAGTATTATAGCGCGTCTGCAGCTGTGTTAGTAGAGCTTGATGTTCTTTACAGTCATCTCATCTCCCTTCTAAAGATGGAAAGCAGGGAAGTGCCTTGACAAAGATCATCCACAGGTCACTGGTATAGCCCTGCAAGATTTGGCAGAAAATGGAAGTATTCCTGACTTCTGTTCCCAATCTCAGTTTTAAACCCAACTATAAATAAAATTAGACCTGTAACTAGAAAACTATACAGCATTAATTGTAGCCAGATGATTCACATCATCACTGGGAACTGCTGACACTGCCTAAGGTTGTATTCCCTCATCTACATAAATTCAGGCAATAAAACATACCTTTTCCTTTTAAAACCCTGAATCTTAATTCCGTGTTTAACCTTATCTTTCACCGGCACCAGGTTACCATTTCTTTTGTTTGATGTACTACTGAACCATCTAGTGATGGTACTACAAAAGGTAGGCTGAACTACGAGACAAAAAAAAATTGAGCTTAAACATAAATACCCCGTTTCAAAATGACGTTTACTAGTCTATATTCTAGCAAATGCTCTTTACAGATATTGTTAAAATGAAAGGTGAATTTACATTTGCAGTGTTTTGCAATTCATTTTATTTGTCTGTGTCACCTGTGTGAAAATATCTGTGAATTTTAAATCACAATATTGTGAGAAAAATTGCTAAAAAACATGGAGATGTAACTTTCTGTGCTGACTTATTTATCTAACTCTTATCAATTTTTACAGACGTGAATTTGTGATTGCACCAGTCAGGGGAATAAATGGATACCACTGCATGAGCGATCTCTGAGAGATTTAATAAATTATGAATGCCAGAATGCAATCTGGAAACAAAACTTTGGAAAACTGAGTAACCCATGTGGAAAAGTCTATCTGTGACTTTCTATAATAATGTGGATGTTGTGATGACCTGAGAAACAAACAGTTCTGCAGATACTGATTACTGGAGAAATTCTTCAAGCCATAAGTCAACCAAATCTGTGAAGGACTTAAGATTTTTGTTGAGTTAAATATGACTGTGGAGGTATGTAGTGTTTTGTCTGCCTACACCGAGATTAACTTTTGTTGTACAGAAATACAGCTGTCTCATCTGCTCTTACACTGGAGTGACGCAATGATTCTGAACACCCCCTGCACTTTAACAACTTCTGTAGTATTCACTCACTCCTCGCAACTAGACTTAAAGTGTCCTTTGTCAGCTCTTAGCGAGCCTTGGTGCTGCAAGCAGGTTCCTAACCTAATTTCAATTCAAAACACACAGGAAGAGAGTAGTAGGCACTTACATCTGTAGCCTTATCTAGCTTTATCTTTCCGATTTCATGGATGTAATCCAGAAGTGGCTTTTGGTGTATGAAGAACTATTTCTCTCCTTTTGATGCAGATTAGAATTTTAAAAAGAAGACTGCCTGCTTTACAATATCACAGTGAAAAATTTAGATTTACCAATTTAATTGCCTATTATTATCAAAAGCTTCTAAAGAGTCATGGTTCTGTCTTAGAAGGCCTCATGTTAGGAAAGCTTTCGTATCTCACTCTTCTGATGGAAAAAGAAAACTATCTAGGTTTATTTGTTTCAGATCTTGAATTACAAGAGATGCCTACCTAAGTGCAACTATTTGGTTGCCCTGAAGTTGTCTAGAGGACAAACTAGCTGATTTAAATACTCCAATTACAGACATATTATCTTTCTCAAAATAAGACTGATCCTCAATGCTTGGAGGATAATAGCAGGAAACAAAAGAAATCAAAGCTGTCAAATGAAGAAATCGGGCTGGGAATATTACCACACAGACGGTGTGGTAATAATGCATGTGAAAGCCATGAAACTGAATCAGCTTTCCCTACAGAACCAGCCAAAATGCTCTGCGGCCAGTTGCCCTCCAGGAAATAATCCTTCAGTCACTGTTCTGCCTGCTTACAGAAACGTGTGCTTCATTCTGTTTTTATTAAATTTAAATCTTTCATTACCAGTGCTAGTCCACTGCTACATTACACTGAAGTATGAATGTCAGTTAACTCAGAGTCCTCAGTAGTTCCAGCTGGAAATGCCAAAGGGTTACACATTTAATAGGTATCTGAACTCCATTTTTCATTCACTCACCTCTGCTTTGCAGCTCAGCTGTAAGTTGCCTTTCCAAGCTCTCTCTGAGTTCTCTCTCTCTACAAAGCTCCATCTTTAACTCTTTCTTTTCCTGCTGTATCTGCTTTTCCTGGACTCTGGCATTGTCCACAGCCACTTTCAGCAGGCCCTAAAACACATGCAAATGTGAGACCTGAAAATACCGTTTTGTTTCAGCAGTGACAAAATTTATCCATTTATTTATTTTACTCCCTTTAGAAAAAAACCACCAATAACAAAAACTCAGGAGCCTATAGACAAGGAATGCACCTGGGCACTTAAAGTGCCTAAATGTTAAATATGAGCAATTTTGTGGTATAGCTTTTGCACATTCATCCTACTGGTATGGTTTATTACAAATGGAATACCATATCATTGCTGACCTTGGTCAACTGCAGGGAAAAGCAAAGGAGAAATAATGAGACTGGTGAATTTTAATATGACCGTTATTGCCAACTATTAAGTCAAATAGACAATGCATAAAATGTTTCCACAATCGATAATGCCGGAGAATGAAAACCTAGGCATTACATTAAATTAAAAAAAAAAAAAAAAAAATTAGAATTGCAGATACAAAACAGTTTCTAACTTTCTAAAAGAGTGGCAGAAGAAATACATTTTATCTGTTATAAATAGTCTGGCCCTATAGAGAATAACTTACCTGAATGTTGGTTAATAGTGTTTCAACTGATGAAAGACCATCAGCAAAAAGAAATGGCGCTGGAAATCCAGGAGGCAAGGCCTGTCCAGCCAGTTGGACTTTATCTAAGGTTGGTTTCATTATTGGAATGGCAATCTGGACCTCTTCTGTAAAGACAGGTTTTAAAAGCAAGATCAGAAACTATTGGAAATATGGAGGTCAAAGTGATTTTTAGAAACTGTTTCCCTGGAAGTCAAAATACAAGCACAGTAGTAAAGCTGATACGTTTTGGTCTTTGGGCAGCCATTGTTATTACTAAGGCAAGTTTGCAAAACAATACAGAGCAATAATAAATATACTTATGGCTATAGCATCGCTCTAATAGAGTATAGGCCATTATATCTCAAATTCTACAAAATTATACTACCGAATTATAACAGTATTATGCAGTTCATTAAACCTGAATGACTTTTCTTCATTCTATCATGTTTGCTATTCTGCGATGAGCATTTTTAGTCACTATAACCTTGAAAAAATTCTAATCAAGAAATGTACCACATCTCTTTATCCTTTTTAGCATTATCCTTCCCATACTCAGCAGTAAATAATCCCCACTGAGTCATCTCCTCCAGCACTGGCTCTGCCTGTCAGAGAGGCATCTGTGCAGGCTCCCCTGGCAGGTGCCATGCTGTGGTCAGCCCCACCATGGGCAGCAGCTTGAAGCACCATGCTGAGTTCTGTCTGCTGGGGGCACAGAGCTGGTGGTGGGGGCACAGGAGCGACTGGGGAGGAGAGGGCTGAGCCATGCTCTCGTGATGCACTGCCTACAGCTGGATGGATGCATCCCTGGCACACTGCATTACCAGGACCCTGTAACTTCCCCTTCACTCCCTGTTTCAGTTTGGTCATGTTGCTAAAGATCAAGCTATGCATGGACAGTAGAAATGTGTACTCAGAAAGAAGCGATGGTATTAGCAATTATTTTCCCCAAATCCTTTAAATTTTGTCACAAATCCTTACTAGCATGAATCTGAACTCACTTTTTTAATAGGGCAACTTAATGCTGTTTTAGGACAATAATACATGTATCTCCTTCTCTCGGATCCACCCTCTTTTGTGTACTACTTCTCCAATATTCATTTTAAGCATCAAGTTTATTGCTGAAAATGATGACATTAAAATCTGCTAGCAGTCTTCAAAGCCAAACTCCGTTCACTTATTTTACACTATGATGTTAAAAAATACTGGTGTAACATTCCAGGGAATTGCAGTCCATATGTAATATTTTCCTTTAATCTCTCTGGCACTTGCAGAAATTATGAAGAACATCTCCTCACAATTGCTTTTTAGTAAAGCTTGAAACTAATCTATTGTCCGTAAGTTCATGATGCATGTGTTTTCTAAGGGCAGCCGCACAGCCAGTCCAGATAGTTTCATTTGTCAAGTGTCTTGGTCATATTAATTCCAGGATTTACAATTAGACCACACCACATCAAAAGGCCTCCCTCCCTTCTCTCACCTCTCTTATTTCAAAAACAACTCCAAAAGAATCTGACAACAACAAATTAAGCCCTGGTGTCTCTGCAGCAGTAGAATTATCTGCTTTAACAACCTCCAGGAGCACCCAGTGAGCTGCAAGTGCTTTTTGCCGTGTCTCAAAAACACACCCACTGACAACAAAGCTGGGAGCATTACCAGATTCTAAGTATTCTCTGAAATCTCTGCTGAGGGAGTATTCTGTTTTCACCCTATGAGTTCATTAAATGGAACAACTTCATAATGATTCTGCAGCACTAATAACAACAAAAGCCACTAACCTCTTCACATCTTCACAGCTACCGTTTTGAAGCTGTGCTCATGTAAATTAAACAATCCTTTAAAAAAAACAACAAAACAACAAACCCCACAAAACAGTCCGGCAACACACTCAGACCGCAGAGGCTGTGCTGACTGAGATACACCATCTGTCACAGATCAGTATTTTTTATCAGTGGTAGTAGTTTTTAACGCGACCTGGTTAGCTGTTGCATGTGATGCTACATGGAAATAATACCTAAGGCATGGAGTCACAACAGACCAAACAGAAGTGGCATTTGGAAAGGAAAGTAACGCATGAAGTATGCATAATGGAAACCCATCGCTGCTTTAAGATCTCCAGAAATCTCTACTATTTGAAGATGAAAGTAATAACATTAAATTGGCTGAAAGGAAAATTACTATTGACTGTGAAGACAGGTTGCATGGTCTATGGTTTGTAATGTTACTGTACAGCAGATTGAAGTTTCAAAATAGTATTACTCTTCTTTAAAGAGATAGACACAGCTAAATTAGGTGCTGCTTGCTGCAGTGAGGATCAAATGCAAAAAGAATCATATTTCATCAGACCTAGTCAACACCAGGAAAATAAATAGAAATATAAGAGGCATGCAGGCAATGATTCATTTTGATAATCTGGCCCAAGAGAGACACATAGAGACAGCACACAGATCTAAGCTTCCACCAAAAGACAAATAGGACACAGAGGGTGGGAATTGGGATGACAGTGTAGCAGAGGTCACATCGATTTTCAGCAGCAGTTTTCACACAGATGAGATAACCCTGGACTCTATTTGGCCCATTGTTCATATCCTACCTGTCCCACAAGCAATAAATTTCCAAGTCCCAGAAAAAGGGCAGTAAAGAAGAAGGATTCTACTTACGACTTCTTATGATTAAGTTTTTGTGCTAACCAAACATGCTTTGCAGACCAAGGTCACATTGCATGTTAAAGTCTGTAATAGCTGAAAACTAGAAGAAGCATATTATGTTTTAGCGTATATGGGTGGAAACTGTCAAACCATTCATCTTTTTTTTTTTCTGATTGAAATCACACTCTGCAAAGATGAATGATAAATGCATTAGAAATCTATTTCAATCTTGTAATAGGTCTTCACATCTGAATGGTGTCTACATCGTGCCCACATTTTGAGTAAGTGCACAGTTAGGCAGAAATATATTAGCTAGGCTTAAGAAATTCTAATTGGGAAAGCAATTAAAAATGGCACGTGTTGGAAGCATTTTTGAGGACTGCATCAAGTACATCTTTTCAGCAGAAAAAGAAGATGTTGATTCTAGCGTTTTGATTTTAAAGAACACTAAGATACAAATGCTAAAAGCAGCACCCACATACAGTACAACAGAATAAACAAGAAATAAAGCTAGGGCAAATACTGTCTTACCAAGGACACAAACAACCTTCCTATTTATTGAAGCAAAGTGGGAACTACTTTTATTGAGCTTGTTTGTTAAACCTGCCATGCTGTATAATAGCATTCAGGAATCCATTTAGAGTGCACTCTTTTTATTTTAATTTCTTGCTGGCATCCAGGTGAATAGACGAAAGCAAGAATTATATTGCAGAGCAAAGAAATACACAGTAAATACTAACAGTGAATGGAATTATTATCCCAGGAAAGTGCACCGAAAAGTGCTAGAAAGTTTCCTGTTGTTAATGCAATATACCAAAGTATTTCATCTTCCATCTTCTGCCTAAGTTGCAGAAATCAGGATTGGAAAATTAAGCATCATCCTATGGACTAAATGCAGCACTGGGAACATGAGTAACACAAATTGCTCCCTGCGTGACTCTGCACAGCCCTAACCAACAGGCAATTTTATTTACCAGCTGGTTTATGTTCTTTCAAAAGACATGCTTTTAAATCCATCATTCATATACCTGATACACTTGACATGTCACATCCCTCTCAAAACAAGCTAGAAATATTAAAGCTGAAATTTACATATTACTAAACACTAGTTAGATCATCATCTTATTTTTTCACATGCATTTCAAAACATATTTGTCTGGAGGCTTTATATGTAAGCCTCACCAAAATTAGTTTACAGAACGGAAGATATAATGTATAAAATAAATATATGATAAGGAAAAAAGCATAACGAAATTCGTAAGAAATTTATAGTTATTAATCTGTTCGTTACTCATCACGACATTTGATCTCAGAAAACCTTCAGCCAGCATTAATAATATGGTTTTGGACATAGATGGTACTGGGATCATTCTAGATCTCTGCCTGTGGCACACAATTTAGAAAGATAAGGACTAAAAGGTTTCATCATAATTACAATTCTTGAAGCTTCGTATTTGAGTGATGGGGATTATATTAAATGATCCACAGTTAGAAAAGAACAGCCTAGGTGCTCCAGTGGACTGTTTTAACCTTTAATAAAATAAAAAGGTATCCTCAACACCAGCTGAGTTGTATGTGCATCTTTCATAGTAAGACCTTACATTTCTATTTGAAATGGCATTATTTGCCCAAAGTTCTAACAGAATTATCCAATTGATAACCCTTGAATTCCAGTTGTATATCTACTTCACAAAGACAATGATAGAAGAATTAGGGCTCAGATAACGATTTTTGATGGCAAGAAGCAGTTCTCCAAAAAAAAAGAGACTTTTTTATTTTAAACTCTGGCTGCTTTTACACTGCTTACCAAGAAACTAGAATAATTGTTTTCTTTTGCAGAAAGGCAAGTATTTAAAACTATTTAAAGCCTGATAATCTGTGAGTCTGTGGGACAGGACTGACAGTCTTCAATGCCTTAATCCCTCTGAATTCCTCCATAGAGCTCTGTGTGCCTTTCTCTCCCTCACTGCCTGCTCCTCTCCTGGGGGCTGAGCCCTCCTCTCCATTGCTGAGAAGAGAGACCTCCTTCTAACTTGGCACCCATCAGACTTCGACATTCACTGCTTTAACCTTGTGATTCAGGTGCCAAATTTGAAGTCGTTGCTGTTTTTCTTAATTACAGCCCTTGTATGAACAGGGTCAATGAATGCAACAGGGAGATTCTGACTGCTGCATTGCGCTAGCTTTAAATCAGACTACTTCATTTTCCAGTGTTTGATACAACTAAATAGCATACAAGCAATTGTCACTACAGAGCTTTGCTGTAAAGAAACTTCCCTTTAAAAATACTGTCTAATCACTATACATGCATTTCCAGACTGCCTTAAAAGCTTTCAGAAACTCACAAAACAGTAACGCCAAATGCCCTCTGCTTCACAGTACCTGCTTCCCAGCTGGTTCTCACCCATGCAATCTGAAATCAATTCATTCTGTCCTGAAGCGTTTAGTAAAGCCTGCCCATCGTTTTCAACATTGGAAAA